CCCCCCGGCGCACACCTGGCTGTAGGTGCCGTCATCATTGCAGTCGGGGATGAACACCTGCTGGAGCTCCTTCCGGGCTTGCTCCTGGGTGTACTTCCTCTCGGCCACACACCTGGACACATCTAAGGGAGAGAAGAGAGCGGGGCGGGAGTTACGCAACGTGAAGATAACAGAGCAGACTTGACGTCTTCAGGTGCAAACACATGGGTCACGGACAGGTGGTAAGAGGCCGAGGCTGGCGAGGTCGTCTGGGGCAGCTCCACGCTCCCTGGCTGCAGGAAACGAGCAGGCGAGCAGGGGCGTTCGCAGCGTGTAGCCCTATATGTATCCTGATGAAGCGGCGTGCGGGGGGAAGGCGCACGCCATTGTCTGCAGTTCAGCAGCGAGGGAGCCGAGGCTCAGAGAGCTGCTGGGTCTCTCCGTGGTGACAGGCGTGGGCTTTGCCTCATGAGAAATGAGAAATAGCAGCTGTCATCCAGCCAGTACAGACAGGCTCCCTCCGGGTCCCAGGACACCCCCCGCCCCCCAGCACACCGGGACTATGTCTAGACACGCAGTGGGGAGATGGGTCCAGAAAAATACAGCTGGAATAATGCTCCTTAGAAGGGAGCTGTCTCTTTTCTCTGCATCTGTTTCACAGGATTCAAAAGTGGATACTAAGCTCCTGCCTCTTCCAACTTCAGTCGGAAAGTCTGAAAATAAATTAGAGAATCAAATGTTCTTAGCTCTGTCCCCACTCTGCTGCCAACGTCCACGTGTCCATGTTAACATCAGCACAACATTCTAATCTGATGGAGTGCAGTCTGTTTCTGCTGCTTCAGAAGACATCGCCTGGACTCAACAAACTAGTAAAAACTGAAACGTCTAAAAACTTACAAGAACGCTGACTCTCACTCGGGATAAAACTACGCAGGAAATACGTTGGTGGTGGTGGTGGCTGGCAAACCAGCTCCAACTCATTGCGACCTTGTGTACAACAGAACAGCGTGATACTCGGCCCTGCCGTCTTCATGACTGTTGGTAGGTTGGTTTCCATTTTTGCAGGCACTGTGTGTTTTGAATGCTTTCCAACCTCGGTGGTCAACTTCCAGAACTATATCAGACAACAGTCTGTTGTGATCCACAGGGTTTTCACTGGCTGATTACCAGAAGTAGATTGCCAGGTCTTTCTTCCTATTCTTAGTCTGGAAGCTCTGCTATCAACTGTCCACCACAGGTGACCTTGCAGACACAGGCAGTCCCCAGATTATGAACGAATTCCATTCCTAAATCTCTCTTTAAGTCAAGTTTGTACGTAAATTGGAACAGTTAGGCACGGTTCATATCTAACGTCAGTTAGGCAAATGTTTGTCTTTGTATATAGTATATAGTGTACCTTTCTGACATAAAAACATTGAAGAAACACTTCCAGATACACTAAAATGTCTTTAACACAGTAATAATGTTCTGATGCATTTCACAAAATAGCTCCTGGTTTGTTATCACGAACCACTGAGGTACCTCCAACTTTTAATAGAGTAGATTTTACAGGGGTTGGTTCGTAACTACGGCTGTATGTAACTTGGACATTCGTAACCCACTGCCTGTATTTGAAACACCAGTAGCATAGCTTCCAGCACGACAGCAAGAGGCACCACAGTGCAACAAGCTGACGGATGGGTGGTGGAATTAGGAAATACAGAAACGATAAAATCAGCCACGCAAGGTCTGCACTGCCACGAGCAAGGCGGCGGCACACAAACGAGCAGACGGCTTGGCCTGACTTTAATTTACTTCTCCTCTTGTCTGTCAAAACATAACAACCAAGACATCCGAGAACTGGAAAGCATGGGGCTTACTGGGACTAGTCTCGGCCTTCCAGTACAATGAGTGAAAGGTGTGAGCTGAGCTCTGGGTGAACCAGGGCCAATAAAACATGTTCCGGGGAATAAAACGCTCTACCCTTTGAGAAGAATTGTATAATGTTTGCTTCCACGGGCGTCGGGCCCGAGGAACACTACCGCGAGCGTATGTTTGACTTCTTTGGACCATCATAAAATGTAGCTCATTTGAATTTTCGAGCTTGAAAAGAATGGGTTTCCCAATCTTTCTTAAGTGTTTCCGGATTCAAATAACAAGTGTCTGTATCTGAATTCGAAGGCTCTCTGGGCTGCAACAGATACTTCAGATGTCGTCCACTCTCCAAGCTCCTTCGATGGTGACTGTTTGATTGCCTGGTAGTTAAAACCTGCTGGCTCAGGCATCCCGCCATTCTGGGCTCTGCTCAAGGACTCGGGGCGCTGGCAATCACTCTGGCAGTAGCAGTAGGCTGAGTATAGGTTCTGCCACGAACAATTCTTCAAGACCTTTGTAGGACTGCGCCTTTCTCGACCTCTAGGGTTACGTACCACCTTGTGCTAGGGGCCTCTGCGTTAAGAAAAAGCCTCTTTGATCCGGGCTTTGGGGCCTTACGTCTGATTCTAAATGCTGGCCCAGGCAGCCGGCACTTAGCAACATGTGGTTTTAATGGAGTCTGTGCTTTAACTGAGGATAAATCACAGCTTTGGGGGACTTCTGTCCTCCTTTTTTTTAGTATAACCTGTGGTTTGATGGCCTAAAAGGAAAAGTGATATGTGTTCCAGCTTGCAAGGTCCTTACCAGGGTATAGATGGAGTTATAAATTATTTCTAATATCTGAATTATCACAGAACATGCCAAAAAAAAAAAAACAACATAAATTTTCCGAGCAACTTGCCAGCTTTGTTCCCAGTTTTGGACTTATTCTTGTAAATAACTTCACATTTGCAACTGATCAGATATTTCTCCAACCTGCAGCTCCCACGTTCAATGGAATATTAAATTCCAAGCCCACGTCCAGCATTTTGCGGATTATTTAGTCGTAGGAAGCAATGAAGACTTAGCAGCACGAAATTATAGCGTCTGTGCAAGTCATACCTTCAAAGACAGTTTGCAGTCACCTTGTTAAACCAAAGTGCTAAGCAGCTGGGTGTCCCACACGCCTCATACCAACTGTTTGCTGTTCCTCCGTCCAGATATTTGGTGTTACACCAGATGTGAGGTCCTTACTATTGAGAATTCTGAATAGTAGCTGAACACATCAATTATACTGAAATGTGCAAAATCGCTAAGGCATTTACATGCTCAAAACAGTGACATCTCCTTTGTTTTCTGCATATTACTTTAAATCATTATATGCTTAATGTACGCACATCTTAGAGTAAATTAAATGTTCCTCGTTACAGAGGTCAAAATATTAAAGACACCCCTAACTTTTCAATCACCTTTGAAAGAATTTAATGGAAAGAACAGACATTCTCCCCTTGAAGCTTTATTTACAGATTATTAATTTCTTCCCCTCTTTTATTTTCACTCCTGCTTCTAGAAGTTAAATTAAAAATTAATCAGGTCCTTAATTGTTTACTGACCTTGTTGATATTGTACTCTGGACACTTTATTTCTATTTCTAAATCCTTAAAACATAAACATCATCTTTTTCTTTTATTATTTAAGCCATACATAACTTCAGGAGCTCTGGTCGTGCAGTGGTTAAAGCGATCAACTGTAACCCAAAGGTCAGCAGTTTGAAACCACCAGTGGCTCCCCCAGAGAAGGATGAGACAGTCTGCTTCCCTAGAGATTTACAGCCTTGGACACCCGAGTCACTACGAGTTGGAACTGACTCCACAGCAGTGGCTACCCATAACTTAAAATTCACCATTTTAACCATTTTAAAGTGAACGATGTAGCGGCCCTTAAGCTCGTTCACAATGCATGACCGTCACCACTATCTGGTTCCAGAATACTTTGATCACCCCAAAAGGAAGCTGGGTGCCCGTTCAGTAATCACTCCCCATTCTTCCGTTCTGCTGGGCACGTCTGTGGGTTTGTCCACTCTGGATAGATTTCATATCAACGGAATCCCGCTCTGTGAGCTTTGTGGCTGGCCCCTTTCTTTCAGCAGAATGTTCTGAAGGCTCGTCCAGGTCCTGGCATGTGTCAGACTGTCTGGTTGAATGACACCCCATTGTATGTATACACCGGGTTTTGTTTCTCCATCAGGCGATGGACAAGTGGTTGTTTCTACCTTCCGGCTCTTGCGAACGGCACTGCAATGAGCAATGGTGTGCAGGTATCTGTCTGAGTCCCTGCTTTCCCGTCTCTTGGATGGACAGACCTGGGAGTGGAATTGCTGGGTCATGTGTTAATTCTACGCTTAACTTCCTCAGAAGCCACCAGACCGTTTTCCAAACTGGCTGCGCCATTTCACGCTCCTGCTAGCAAGCACAGTGTCCAATTTCTCCACATCCATGCTAGCACTTTGTTTTCAGGGTTTTTCTTTTTTTAAGTATTATTACAGCCATCCTAGTAGATGTGAAGTGGTACCTCATGATTTTTGGCTCATAGTAATGTTTAGACTACAATTTCTACCTCAGAAAATCTACCATATCTCAAAACTATAATATTAATATTTTAATTAAATCAAACTGATAATTTACTCTCATTCTAAATCAAAGAATTTAATCACTTTTTCACTAGACCAAAGGAAAACTCTTTGTTGCAAATTTGGTCATATGTTTTTGAAAATGTTTTGCTCTTATCTGAGAGAGCAGACTTAAAAAAAACAAAGAATTTATTATTGTATTTCACAAGGTACCGCTAACAACTGGCTTTTAAAATAAATTTTGGGCTGAGTTGTAGGTTAATGAGCTTTGCAAGCGATTTATTTCAACCTGGTTGTTGATTTTCTTTTTTCCCCTCAATTACAAAGTAAAATGGATTCCTCTTCCAATGGGGTCACAAAACTTGTTTATGTACCAAGATACTTCAGTCATGGAAACTATCAAAATGTAAAACTCACTATAAACTAGAAATAAACAACCATGTTTTTAAATGGTTATTGCTAGTGATGGTTTTCTTTTAAAAGGTGAGCAGGTATTTTCTACTTTGCGAAAATCAATCTGAAAAGAAGGAAGCAATGATGGGGAGAAACAGCTCTGCTGAACGTTTTACACACGAGCATTTTGCAGAGCCCCGGTTACAAAGAACTGAGAACAACTGAGCAAAACGAGCCTCACTCCAGGGGATGTTTATGGGTGGTTCTCACCTTTCGTCCCCAAGCCCC